ATAACAAATGCAAGTAGCAGGCGTTCAATGAAAGCTAGTTCTCCTACCTCCCTTTCCACCATCTCGCTGCATTTCTATCTAAACTCCAGCAGGTGAGATTTTTGGAAACTCTAAGTGAACTGAAACTACTTCCTATTTCCTCAAAGGGGACAGGCTGAGGGAGATGGATGCCAAGATTTATCAATAGCTTTCAAAACTATCTCTTTTAATGCTCAAGCTCTTCTCTTGCAAGTCATTCATTCTTTTTCCTTCTCCTTACCATTCTCCATGGTCCCTTACTATACCTTTGTGCAAAACCACACCCTATCTGTTCCAGCAAATTAGGAAAGAAGACTCATTCTGGATCTGAGCCCCCACTTGCCCTTCTTGGCTGAGCCACTTGGTGCAATACACTAAATGCACAGCCACCCAAGCAGCCAGTGTCACCCAGTGATCCCTGAAGGCAGAAGCCAATGAGAAAGGGCAGGGCCTGTGTACAGAGCCAAAAGTCGGCTGATGAAAGCAGAGCCCAGCAGTGTCACCACAATAGCCTGGCCCTGGAAAAGCACTGAGTCCCCAAACTCGCTCGCCTCCTCCATAGAGGCTGTCACACATCTGGTTCCGCTATGTTTGCCTGGGGGTCAGATTCCTTCTTTCCACGCAAAGAACCTTCCACAGACCTTTGGAATCTTTCACTTAATTATAGTATAAGTGAGATCATGGTCCAAAACCACCAAGCAGTGACCCCAGTCTTTTGGAGGGATAATTTCTCTAAACAACTGCTGAGTTTACTTTTGTCTAAGTCCAGTGACTTTGCCTGTGGGATATACAAAACTCTTGGCACAAGTTAGCACCCCCAGCAAACTCAAAATCCAGTTAGTAAATAAACTCCATTGTAATGTAAGGACTAACCACCACCCTTGCTATTTACCCTTCACACTGAAATAGTAAATGATACTGTGGGAAAATAGAAGCATGCCACTGAATAGACCATCAGCAAAAGGCAAGATTGCCTCTTCTGAGACTCCTCTGCCCTCTGGGATTGGAATTTAGGGAGGATGCATTCAGAAATGATTTTTTTTTCCAGTAATGACAATGTTCAGTACCACATAAGAAATGAAATTGAAGCATTGATCTTATTCCTCAAATACAGGATAGCTTCAATATTAAAATTAACATATAAATTTAACATCCATCTTATTTTCAACTCACTTCTGCTGAGTAAAAGCACATAGAAAAAATGAATCACTGAAACAGTAGGCAGTGAAATCAAGTTCATTTTTCAAATATGTCAGTTCAAAATGCAGTTTGTGCCTGTGTTCTAGGCACTCCACAAATGTTTCCATGACGCCCCCCATCCCAATGCCTCCCACCAGTCCAGGCATAGGGCAACCAGGGGAGGGAGGATGAGCCCCCTAAGAGGGAACCCCACAATATGACAGCTACTCTGCATACCCTTTGCTCTAGTTCTGTTTCTTTTTATAAACTTTAAATGTTCTTAGGCTCTTAGAAGCCTGCCAGTTAACTGTGACATCCTGAGCCAGTGATCCAGAATCACTGCCCCTCTTTCCTGGGACCTGTCCCCCTCCAGGCTGCTCCACTATTAGCTTCCACCAGAGCCACGTGCCTGGCTCACAAACTCCCTGCTTCTCAAAACACCTGTGAAGCTACTTTTGTTTTTCCCCTCATCAAGAGTGCTCAGAGTTCATGAGCTACCACCCAACACCTGTTCAAAGGGCTGTTACCAAAAGACAAATAATTAAAAACAGAATGACCATATGATCCAGCAATTCCACACTTGGGTACTTATGCTAAGAAAATGAAGTCTCTGTCTAGAAGAGGTACCTATACTACATGTTGACTGCAGAGTTACTCCTAGCAGCCAAGCCATGAAAACAGCCCATGCCCATCGCTGGGTGAATGGATAGAGAAAATGTCATGTTACATACGAAGTAAAATAAGCCAGCAACAAAAAAGACAAGTGCTATATGGTCTCACTTATAAGAGGAATCTAAAGAAGCTGAACTCATAGAGACAGAGAGTAGAATGTTGGTTATCAGGGAAGGGAGGTTGGGGAGACAGGGAGACTTTGGTCAAAGGGTATGATCTTCCAGTTACACGATGAGTAAGTTCTGGGGATCGAATATACAGCACGGTGACCACAGGTTACAATACTCTGGGCTATGCCTGGTAGTGCTGGGAGAACAGACCTTACATGTTCTCACCACACACCCAAACCAGGCGATTCTGTGAGGGGATGATGGATGTGCTGCCCTTAGTGCGGTCGTCATCCCATAATACATGCATAAATCCTGTCATCACACTGGACATCTTAAATTTACACAGTGTTACACATCAATTATATCTCAATAAACTGGGAGGTGAGGGAGAAATTGTTGATCTTAAAACTCAAAGCTCCAGGGCAAAACCTATTTCCAGGTGTCACTAATAAACTGGGAATCATGGAACAACACCATTGAAAAATCAACACCATCGAAAAATCTGAGGAGCCTTATATACAGCATTCCCCATAGGGGAAAGGATAGCACATTTATGCTAATAACTGCTCCTTTACCACCAGAAGTTTCCAGACACAGGCATTTCTGATCCCAAATGTGTACTCAATCTGATCATTAACATGGACACTAAAGTTATGTGGACCAGATCTAGGGCATGTACAAAGACTGCTTGCATGAAGTCTACCCCTTGCTGCAGAAAAGTAGATAGGAGGGGAGGGATTTAGAAATCTCCCTCTCTTGGCATAGATCTAAGGAGAAAACCCAAGGATGCGATGCACAGTGAGGTGGTTCTCAAATCTTGGCAAGTTTAAGAATCACCTGGAGAGGATAAACATGTAGGTGCTCAGGCTGCCAGGTATTCCAAACTCAGCAAGTGGGGCCCAGGAATCTGAAGGTGAAATGAAGTATCTGGGTGCCTACACGGTACTTTGAGACAAACTGCTCACATCTTAGATGAACAAAGCATTTACTCTAAGACTGGTGGTTGACAGGTCCTCCCAGGAAGGAGAGAGAGGCACTGTGGTTTACGATGAATTAAGTTCCTGTAAGGCTGGTTTGAATCAGCTGCAAGTCTATAGCCAGGAACCCAGATATTTTGTCTGTATGACAGATGGGATTTAACTAAGAACTGGCTGATTTTTTCTCTTTTCCTCCAGAAGTTCAATTACATATGGGTTACTGAGTGCCCACGAGCAGGTGAGTGTTCATTTCCCTTGAAGTTTACATGTTACAGCCCATGGTCTTTAAGAGCTGAGCTATAGTCTGAGGTCTCACCACTTTAACCAGAGGGGGCTCAGCTGTCAAGACTGCAAAACTGAACTAGGAGCAGGACATAATATTAACAACCAATTTCTTCCTTCTGACCCCTAACTTACCAATGGAGTAAACATTTCCTGCTTCAGAAGACGATATTGAGGGTCAAACGTACCTGCACTAGCCCGTGAATAAGCTATTGTCCAGGTAATTCCATTTTGCTGGCCATTGTAAAAAGAATCAATGGCTTTGATGATCCCTGGGTGAAATGAAGCTTAAGAACACTGCGTCTTAGACTGCATTTTGCTCAAGCCAGGTCATTCAACCTGAAGAAGTAACAGCTGAAGACATACCTTGTAGCACAATCAGCTCACATGGAACCTGTTACCATGGCTGCTTGTTGAATAAATGTAGATAAACTTTTGAGATCAAGATACCTTTGAAAATACATTTGCCCTAGGAAGGCCCAGACATTAACTCATGACTAGCACATAAAATGTTCTGGACATGTGTCTTTAGAATCAAGGATCAAATTATTCTCCTCTGTATTCCCTCACTTTCTTCTTTTATATAAACACTGATGTTTAAATATAACGCTAACAACAAATCATATTCACTTTTAAACACTCAGATATGTAACTATATCAATTAAGCACACATTAATCCAACTAACTTAAGGAATTTTTCCCCTCAAAGAGTTCTCATTCCTAAAGTGCCTGAGAGAAATAAAAATGGGATGGCTCTTTTGTTTTAAATGTCTTTTTCTCCTGGGACCCATTCAAGGTAGGGGTGGCAGGGGCAGGATATGATGGTAACTGCTGTCTCTCAGTTGAGGGAGCATCTCAGGCCAAGAGGATTTTCCCATCTCCCTCTGAGACTGAGGAACCCTGTAAGACTTCCCACACTGGGAGCTTTCTTTGCATCCTTGTCATGTAGAGGATTTTATTTGCTTATTTACTTTCCCTTCTACACATGTTTATTGTCTGACATAAGCAGTCACTTTTCCTTTCAAGCCCTTTGAAGAATGGCAACAGTAAGAGAAGAGGCTAGTGTGGACGCCATTGAGCATTATTATTTGAAAACTCACTTTTTAAAATACCTAAGAAGGTTGCCTAATGTAGCACCCCAAAAAATGCTTTTAAAGGAGGGGAAAAGCCCTGGTTTTCCATGTTTGTTGTGATCCTCCCTCAAGCCAGAATGGCATATTCTCTAGGTGAGAATGGGGGACTTCACTTTTACATCCTGAGAGTAAAGCTAATGACCTTAGTGAATAGGAGTAACCACTGTCATTTACTGAGTGCTTTCTCCCTGTCAGGCACCATGCTAAGCACCTCACTTACTTTCCACCCTGCAGACTGCTTCATTTTTACTCTGTTAATGGGATTCTCCATCATAATCCCCACTTACCTTGGACTCATGACAGGTAACTTGGCCAATAATGCACAAGGAGCATCATCTTACACATAGTAGGCACTCAATAAGTATCCCTTAAAGAAATAAGTAAATGGGTGGAGGGATTGAATTCGTTCTGTTCTTCAGCAATGAATTCTTTTTGAATGTAGCCCCAAAACTTTATCATTCATATTTCTCAAGGAATGCCTCATTTAACTGATACCTTGTTTCCTGGTCCATGAACTAGGAAGCAGCTTTTACATCAGGTTTCTGTATTTAAAGATCCTCTTTCCACAAGCAGAAATGACATAAACCAAGATCATCTCCTTAGTTTATTTTTTTTCTAGAGTCCTTAGCATGCTACAATAACCTGACAATGCTTAATCTTGTGTTCATTTCACAATACATTTCATGCAATTCACAGCTGTGATTGTGTTCACACTGATGTTACACATGTTTCGATTCAGCCATGTGAAAAGAATGATTTTTAATGGAGTTTGTCTCTGAAACTGTCCAAGCTTACATAAGCATGTGAGTTGTACACTCTATCCTTAGGTGCAGTCTTTCTTTAAAATGCAAGAAGGATTTTTAGCATAAGAATATAATGCCCCTGTTTATTGTTCATTGGCAACCCAACCACTTCCTTTAGGTTTCACATATCCTGAGGAATCCTCTTTTACAAAACGGCATTCAAGTATACTATTTTATGGAACATTCCAGGTTGAGTTTAGGAGCAATGCTGACTTTCAGCTTTATATCCCCAAATAAATCTTCCGTGGACCCAGCTTTCCCAAGACTATTCTTAGCATTAGACTCTCTTTTACAATACACATTCAGCACTAAAGCCACAGAGCAGAGCTATTTGGCATTTTCCAGTGAAGTGCAAGAAATTAAATAAGTTATGTTTTTATTGCTAAGGGATAGAATCAAGCACAGTCACTTTGTCAAACAGAAGGAAGGGGTATACACAGGATGTGGCCTCTCCTCAAGGGAGCCTTGGGATTCAGCCGCCCAGAGATGTCCCCTGGTCGCCACCCGTCCAGAACCACTTAAGATGATGTGCCAAGTATTCTGGAGTCCGAGGAGTCGGACCGCTCGTCATAGTCATCCTCGGTGTAGATGGACTGCTTCGACACCACTGGACACCCATCATCAGGGATGGAGATCCGGGGGTCCTCGGGGGCCCGGGTAGGCAGGACGGGGGAGCTTCGGAAGACGCTGGGAGAGTTACTGGGGAAGGGGCCGGCATACTGGGACCTCAGCTGGTACTGGTGCTGGAGCGTCATGGTGTTCCACAGGGTGACGTCGTTGGGCAAAAAGGGCCCCGACTGGTTTCTGGCCAAGGTGTTCCGCAGCACCAGGGGGTACCGGGGCGGCTGGGGGAACGGGTGCTGCAGGGGCACAGCCAAGGGGCTGGGGACCACGTTGCCGGAGTCCGTGGAGAACCGTAGCGTGTCTGGGACTCTGAAGGCCGAGCCCACAGACCACTTGGAAGAGGAGATGGGGTAGGAGCTCAGGGTGTGCTCAAAGATGTGCCCGTTGGAAGGCAACACCAGGCTCTCTGGCTCGGCCGCCGTTCGCTCTGCGCTGGACAGGGAGGAGCGGCTGGACAGCAGGACCTCCACGGCGCTCACCAGGTCCCCCCCGCAGCCCTTCAGGATGAGCTCCAGCACCGTCGGCTTCTGGGTAGGGAATATCTTTTTTAACACATCCAGTGGCGGTCTGTTGGCTTTCAAGCTGAAGGGCAGAGAAACCGTCCCCGAAGGTCCCTCAATCAGCAGGTGGTTCTGTTCCCCGTGGTACTTGGGGCTGTCAGGGTGGCTCTCAGTGTGGCCTCCGTTTTTCTGGACAGCATAGCCCCCTTCATCCACCGACACGACCTCGGGGCTCTCGGGAGCAAAGCATCCCTTGCCTTTCCCTACATCCGGGGAGCCCCTGTGCTCAGTGTCTTTGTCGCTGAAGGTCTCCGCGTTGTCCCCCGCGCTGCCGTCCCCAAGCCGTTCTTCAGTCAGGTCTGAAAAGCAGAGAATAGCTGGATTAATCCGTTCCTGGTTTGCATAAAGAGGAACTGATGTGCTTAGGACGAGGGGCCGGGCCAGGCTGTGGGGAAGGGAAAATGCGTCTCAGGGGCTGTAACACGCAGCAAGATAAGGATCTAGAAAGCAGAGTGGTCACTCAGAATGATGGGTGCAGGTTGCCTCAGCCACAGACCGTCTGTGCGCTACCCATAACCAGAGAAGATGTGGCTGTCATGACGTAGGGACCCTCTGGGGAGCTGGAATAAACAGAGCCCAGGGAAGAAAGGAAAATGAGCTCAGGCTTGTCTTCGGCTCCTCATCTGCAAATGAGGTGGACGATGTAACCTAGGGACACTGTGGGCCAGTGCACGACCCATATGACCACAGGGAAATGTAATGTTTAAATCCATTTACACAGAGGCGGATTTTGTGTGAAGGATATCTTATGAACTAGTCATCACTATGTTTTATCAGGTTGCCATGTATAGTAACTAGTCAATATGATTGCCAGAAAGAAAGAAATCTCTATATGTTGAAATCTCTCTGAAAAGCCAGGGATTGGCAGGCTCATTTGCCTGTAACTTACCCTAGAGGGCCAACAAAACCAGCTGTGAGTCCTGATGGTGGGACAGGTTGCAGGGGAGGAAGAAGGAAAAAGCTGGAGGGATCTCTGAAATGACGTGACCCACGAATGACACGATGCGCCCATAACTCCAGGGCCGTGGGATGTGAGAGGTCAAGATGCCTTCATGAACCATTTTATTAGTAAAGCACATGGGCAGGACTTCAAGATACTTTCTTAAATTGTATTAAAAGGGAAAAAAAGCTTCCCCAACAAAGCAGATATTTACTGTGAACTAAACCAGCTGCAAACTTAACATTTCAACCTAAGACATTACCTCCAGGGCTAGTATTACAACACGGAACAGGCAGAAACGGGTGGGTAAGGCTGGTTTGCCCGCAGTAATGAATGCTAACAAACCTTTATAATAAAGGGGTATATTCTTTATTAGAAAGCTGTACATAAGTAAATTTTTATCCTTTTTAAAACATGTACTGGTTCTACTCAAAGCCAATGTAACTGATCTAAAGATGAAAATTATTAATGACCCAGTTGTCCGGTTGTAAACAATCGGTTTGCCTGTTTTCTACAGCCCTGCCTGAATAACCTCATTGTCGCCTTCTCTGTGGGCACACCTTAGTTTATATAGATAGCCAGCCGGTGAAATTTCATCAAAGCAGCTTCTAAAAATACATCTCCTATTTGTTGTTGTTTACTTTAAAAGCCTTAAACAAAGGCCCACTTATGAACATTGTTCTAACCCAGAATGTATCTTAAATATAATTGAAGAACAAAACTTTGGTTTTTCACAAAGCAATAAATACATGCCAAGCATGAACAGGTACTTCTAAATTTTTTTAAATATGCTTAAACCATATCAGTGCAATTTTTGAACATAAATCTGATAGAAATCCATGCTTATCCCAAATAGGCATTTTTAAGGAAATTGCTTCCTTTCCATTACAAAATATAAGGTTTCCATGTGAGGATCACTTGTAGCCTGCATGTGTTCAGCCATCTTTGCTTTCTGTATCAACTCTATGGGATGTACAAAAGACCTATTTCTGTCAGAGAAATTTGACATATTCTCTCCTGCAACTTCCCAGGCCTGGAGACCCGCAGTTCATCTCCTGAGTTAACGTGGTGTTTATGCTTAATGCAAAAAAAGAGAAACACAACAAGGAAAAAGCTTCTCTGGATTTACATTCAAATCAGCTAGACTCTGCTCAGTGTTCCTGACTCGTGACCCCTTGGCTGTTGTTACTTTATTATTAAACACTTGAAAAAGAGTGGCCAGCGACAGTCTGTTAACTCAGCACTGAACTGAACAAGCAATTGGATTTTGGCACCTGTTCAATGGAGCTTGGGAAAACAAATCAAATACTCTCCCGAGGTAAATATGGACATAAAATAATGTTTTAAATACTATGCCATTCTAAAAAGGTTTTTTCTTTCTTTAACTTTAGCTTGCATTATCTATTATTGTCAGCATCAAGTACTTAGCATCCCTGTGATATTCAAGAATACTAAAGGAGACAGGAAAAAGGGAATGGAAAATACCAGGAAGTGTAAGACTTGCCCCCAATTTCTGGATCTTATCTAGCTGGGAAGGTAAGATCCAGATGCAGGGGGAAAAGCAAACAGCCAGGCAGAATTTACTAAGCATCAAACATGACACCCATTGTACACAAATGTTCATAGCAGCATTATTCACAATAGTGAAAGGTGGAAGCAACCCAAGTGTCCATGGACAGATGACTGGATAAGCAACATGTGATATATACATACAAGGCAATATTATTCAGCCTCAAAAAGGCATGAAATTCTGATACATGCTACAATACCAATGAACCTTGAAAATGGGCTAAGTGAAATGAGCCAGTCATAAAAAGACAAATATTCTGATTCCACTTATATAAGATACCTAGAATAGGCAAATTCATAGAGACAGAAAGTAGAATGGTGGTCACCAGGGGCTGGGGGAAAGAGGTAATGGGGCTTGCTGTTTAATGGGTACAGGGCTTCAGTTTGAGGTGATGGATATAGCGATCACTGCACAACATTGTGAATGTCCTTATGCCACTATATGGTACCCTTTAAGAATGTTAAAACACTAAGTTTTATGTTATGTATAGTTTACCACAATAAGAAAAAAGGGAAAGAAATATGACACAGAATCATAGCCATATAAGGGATGGGGAGATTATTTTTAAGAAACAACTGGTTCTTCCAGGAAATAAAGGGTATATAAATATAGCTATAAAGCTCAAAATTATTTGTTTTTAAGAAATGGGTGAACATAATCCACACCCTGGATGAATTGCAAACACTGAAAACATTTAAGGGCACCATTTTGAGATCTGTCACCAAATTCACTCTTCCACAGACTGCTCAGGTTCCAGGAGCAAGTGAGTCAAAGAGCAGGAGTTTAGCCAAAGGGAACCTGGGAATGATGCTCTAGCTAACCTGACACTAGCTACCATTAGGAAAAAAATATTTTTTCAAGATGGCAAAGATGTACTCTCCCAATCAACTGGATACTGGATGGCAGGATTATAAATGTGACAATACAAAATTCCACTCCAGTACCTATTTTCCTGTTCTGCAGAACAGGCTGCCATGGAATCTCCCACAGGTGCTAGCATGTTCACGAATTGTGACCACCTCCCTACTCCCGCTGCACCCCAACCGCAAAATCCCCTTTCTTATTTTCTTGTCTACCCTTTGCCTTTGCTACTGTGACATGCCCAGGGCAGCATGCGGTTACTTCTCAAGGAGTGGTGGTTCATCTATACACTGTCACCAGGCTTTTGGGCTGATCAGCCTCTCCAACTCAGTACCCAGGCTGTGGCCAAAAGTGAGACAAGCTAACAGGATGTCACAGGAATCGAATCTACAAATTCAGGGCCTTCCAACAAATGGGGCTCAGCACTGTTTATACTGTGTGCAAAGGGAAGACAGAAGACATGGAAGAAGCAATGACTTGGCACACACTTGTGGCTTTCACACACCTGAGCAGCAACATCAAGTCTTGCTAAGGAGTGTTAGGTTGAGCAGATTCCCATTCAGCACCCAGAGCTGGTGGCGATTCAGAGCTGGGCAAGCTCGGCAGAGCTACTTACTCTCCCACCTCGAGCCAATAATAACCCAACAGTAATTTTTGAAGGGCACAATACAGAGTCCCTGCAATTTTGTGGCACTCTGGTGTCTAGTATTGGTTGTTTTGTTGTACCTAAACTAAATGTATTATAAATTATTCTATTATAAATACAGACTTTCACAAGTAATTATAGAGGGTGAGTTTTGAGCCCAGTGATAAAGTGTAATTTAATAATAGGTGTTTCTTTACATCTCCAGATTTTTTTTTCTAAATGAACCTTATAAATTGTTCATGTTGGTTTAAAACACAAAGGCCTTTCTAGATACAGAAATGTGAAACTGCCAACAGAAAAAATGAAAAGGGAAATAACTCCCCAAACACTTTACCCTCTTTCTTCTTGAAACTGACACCCTAATTCCTGGAACATAAAGGGTAAGAGTTTATTTCAACGGATAATATTTTTACCCCTATATATCAATTCAAAAAGCCAAAACTCCTAGACAAAAAGTAGAAAGAAATCAATTTCATCTGATATTACAAACCACCTATTGAAATGATACGATCTGTTGCTAATGCTTAAACATCTAGGTACTTTGAAAATCTTACCAAATGTTCACTCTTCAATGTTATATTTTTCATGATGTAGAAACGCTCACAGCCACCTCTGAAGTAAACTCACTATGGTAAAGGTTTTTAAAAGAAGCAGATATTCAATTAAGAAGGATTTTTTTCTATGTATAGTGATGCTACCAATTTCAGAAACTATGTATGCAATAACATAGCTACAAAACTTTTTTTTTCTTTTTGCTACAAGATTTTATTGAAGGAGAAATAATGAATACTCACACAACAGGTATTTATTTCCAACCTGAAATCACAATTTGCAGAATTTAACTTACAGGATTTTTTCATATGAAAGTTCAGTTAAATTTTTAAAATTTCTAAATATTCATTTCAATATCTTGAGAAAGCCTGGGACATATGTGAAAAAAACACTGCCCAAGACATATAAAAATGGAAAATCTTTCTGACTTTGATGTGGTGGGTTTTATCCATTTTATCATATATCTATTTAACAAAATATCTTACATCTGGAATGAAAACAAAAACACCAGCAAAGAGGAGTATTTCCTAGAGCAATGTCACTGGACTTTTTCTTTCTTTTGAAATCCTGTCATGCATTTTGAAACATGGATGGTCATGTCCTCCTCTGTTCCCTTGAGGTTTGGGGAACACACCTCCAAACAACTGTTCCCTGATGGGTTGTTTTCAAGGCACACAAATCTTACAGCAATGGCAGGGAAGGAGCCCAGGCAGTATGGGGTGTCCAAAAA